GAGAGAGAGAGAGAGAGAGAGAGAGAGAGAGAGAGAGAGAGAAAGAAAAAGCAATGGAAAAATTTCCACTGTTTCTACTAATCTGTTACAACTGATATAATACTTAAGCTTGTAATTATATTATATTATCTATTAGCAAAACCAAAAGACATTGGTAAGCTGCTTGCGATTAATGGGACCTAAGTATTTAAAGCACTTGATTTTTTCCCTCGGCCAATCAATGGTTTACTCTCAACATATGGTTCACGTGCTTTTTCAGTCTGCGAAACATATTATTATTATTATTATTATTATTATTATTATTATTAGTAAGGTGATTAGCAAAATTGATCCAGTGGGGGAAACAGGAGAATGATTGATTTGTCGAGATCGGTATATGTTTTGGAATCTTTTAAAACACTAGCTACTTATAATAAATTCAGTTTGGTACTTATATATTTTTTCTAAACATTTTTTTTCGCCACAGGAAGCAAGCTAAAAACATACATAAATATAAAATATTCAAAAATATTCATAAGAATGATTTCTATAAGTTTTTTAAAATATCGAGACTGTTATTGCTGTTAACGACTGAAAGAGTACTAGTTTTTGCTGTTTGCATTTTTCTTGGAAATTCATATTTTCTGAAAGGCCTATCTTCAGTGTTTTGGAATGACTACATTGGCACATATATTAGCTTTTTTTTTTCTCGATCATTCGATTTTACGCTCTTTATTTTGTTTATCTTTTACTATAAAACTGAGAAATTTAAATGTCACTAAATTATTTCTACTCATTTTTAAAAACAGAAACAAAAATGAAGTACACGTTATTGACGGCATTGATTGATTTACATTTCAATCTTATATTGTTATTCTAGAGCAACCCTCAAATCCCCAAATAAAAGTGTCGACTTTTCGACTGAAACGCACGCTCTGAAATCGCCAGAAATGTCTCAAAACACTCTTGTACTTACTAAGGTAGTTGGTAATATTGGTATTTTATATTAAGCATCCGCAATGCGTCATCCAATCATTAAAACATACACATTAAATTTTCAATTTTAGTGTGTCATTCATTTTAGCCATCGACCAGCCGTTGGCTATGGTCAGTGGATCGAACTGCTTAATGAGTGTAACTGGTGGCTTAGAGTTACTTATAAATATATACTCAAAAGATAACAAAAGAATGAGTCATTTATCTGATAAAAGAACAACAGAGTGCTATAGATTTTCGCACAACGGGAGGAAAGAGTGACAGTCTTTGTACCCCCTCGAAGTCATTGCAGTGGAACGGATAACATGTGTAGCTATTCAGTAATTTGCGGCCACCTGCTAGCAATTTCAAAACACACCAGAGCTCATGTCATGTATCTGTGAACAGAATTATAACTCACAAATAGTAAAAATTGGTGCAATTCAAAGTTTTGCAGGTCTACGGTCCAGTGAGGTCTGCTGAACTTAATAATTCGCCTTCATATGGTATGCACTCCAATCAGACATCTATCAAAGCTTAATACGTACCATATGTATAATTCCAGTTAGTAAACGGATTAGTATGGGATTATTAAAATTAGAATTGGAAAATACCTAGAATGTTCAATTGAGAAGCGAGAGTTTGGCAATCGTTCGTAGATGAGTCTACGTCAATGGCATTATTCAGTCTAGCTTCCTATTTTGATCGAAGGCGGTTAACATTGAGTCACGTTTTGTACCAAGTAAGAATCCTATTGGATATACGTACCAATGAATAGCCACGAACATATCTGTCAAATACACTGCATGTCTATGTAAATTGAGATGGTGAAAGCCAATTGCATTTTTATGTGTGTAAAAGGTTCTACTTCATTCAGGCTCAAACATCACAGAATTGGCACTGGAGAAAGATATTATTTACAAGAAAAGGGAAGTAATAACGAGAGCATAAGCTTTAGTCAGACGACAGTCGGACGACTTTGAATAATAAATAACAATCGGTGAGAAAAATCCAATTCGAATTCGAGTTCCGAGAAATTGAAAAAAAAAAAAAAAAATTTGAATAACTGGATGGAAAACCAATAAGATGAGATTCGTGTGTAGGTTATAATTGAGGAAGCGAAAGAAAAAGAGGAAATTATAATTTTAGATCGTCTCAGTTGTTGATTTGAGTCTTAAAAACGCCCTGGCTTAATCATAAGACTGAGTAATTTATATGTTAAGCACTTGAATCGACTCAATCTAGACAAAATATCTTGAACAGGTTTTGTACTGAATCAGCAAATGCCGAAGTTTCATATCCGGCCCTTCCAACCGCGCACGGCTCTTATGCTAATTTTCTCAGTCTTATAAACTGATATTCTAAGGATTCGGCTTCCACGTATGCTGGACAAATGTCTTCTAGGTTAAATTTTAACGGGTCTTAAATTTTTAAAAGACTTAGAATTGAAAAATTTTTCGGTTCGTTTTATTCTAGAGGCGATCTGTCTGCGGTGCCCGGGTTTGGCATGTTTGTATGCGTGCGCAAGTCGATTGAAATTGTTTATATTTGAAGACAATCACCAGCTGATCAGTGATCAATGTAAGAATCTCCATTCAATCACAGTAAACACTACTTGTGCAGTTGACACTATATGTGACTAAAGACTTAAAGATGGAAGATTCGAACGCCGAAGCGACCGAAAATATCGAAGTAGATTCAACTCCAGATGATTCGTGTGATGGCGAACGAAAATACCTTGAAGACAAGGCAGAGATGGTTCGTGGGTTACTACAGGAGCGAGAAATTCTCGAACGAGCACACGAAGAGGAGGTGGAGGAGCTTCGATTTTCCTTCGAGAGCGAGAAAGAGAATATACTTCAGGCTTTTGAGTGTGAGCGTGAAGAAATGCGAAGGGCTTTCGCCAAGGAGAAAGAGAAAATACGCTTCGAGTTTCAAGAGGAGAAGCATGTCATGAAAATGGCATTCGAAGACGAGAAATTAAAAATCGTTAGCCTGCTGGAGAAAGAGATAGATGAACTGAGGAAAGGGTTTGATAAGGAAAGAAAGGAAATGCAGGATTCCTTTGCTAAGACACTCAGAGACAGAGATCACCATTTTCGACTCGAGAAGGCAGAAATCGAAGGCAAAGTAAGGAAGGAGATCGAGCGAGTACAGGAAGTCGAAGGCGAAATCAAAAGCGCTTTACTCAAAGGCCTCGGTGACCTAGAAAATGTTTATTTCGACGAAACAGCTGTACTAGAACAGTGGGGTAACAACGAACAACCAGAGGCTGATATGTACTTGAAGAGGAACTCAGAAACTGGTTTGAAAATCGATCGAAAGCAGCTATTTCAAAACATGGACGAAGAGAAAAACAAAATGTTTATGTATCACTCAACTAGGCAGAGCGAACTGGAACACGAGTTCTCAGGGGAGATCGTAGAGCTTCAAGAAAAATTTAAAGAGCAGAAAAAAGACTTGATGAATATCTTTAAAAACGAGAAGCAGGAATTGGAAGAAAAATATCGACGGGAGAAGGAAGATATCCGATACAAAATCGAGACAGAGTTTCGCCGTGTGCTGAAGCAAGAGCGTCTGAAATACGACTCCACCTTTCAAGCCTATGAACATGATATTACGATGCTGAGATATCAGAAAGAACAGCTTGAGCGATGCTATACTCTTGAAATGGAGAAACTACAGTTTAAGTTTGAAAGGGATCGTCTCGAAATGGAGAAAAAGTTACAGCGAGAGAAGAGAGAATTTAAGCGCCTGTTTAAGGAGCACTACGCTAGGAAGTCATACAACGAAAGGTCAAGACTTGAATGGCTTTTGCAGCAGTTTAATTTAAACGATTCCCAGTTATTACAAGCGAATTCACGATCGAGTTCCTGTAATGAGATTTTTCGTGGTTCTAACTCGAGTTTCACATCAGGATCAAGTGAGTTGTAAATGATTTCAGCAAAGGATTCGATCAGTACGACTTGGTATTGTAATTCGTTAATCGAATACTGACTAACGTGACGTCAGTCAATCTGTCTCACGCTTGACCTGAGCTGTGCATAACAAAACTTCAAAATCAATTTGCTTTTCATTACAAAGTAATAGGTTTTTCTCGGCAGAACGAATGTGTACAATATGGATAAAGCGAACCATGGTAAATTCATCAGTTCTGACAGTATAAAAATATTATCTTGCTTCAGCGAAGACAGAAAATATGCAAGTATAGTATATTGTTATATAAGAATATTCAGATTAAAACTGACAGCCAATTATCTACGAAAGTAAATGGAGCTATTGAGAAAGCTATTAATAGTTAATAACATTCATTGATAACTCGATTTCTTTCTAAAATTCTTTTTTTTTTTTCCTCTTCAAAAATGAAAGTTATGGATATAGACATCTTAAAAAAAGATGAAATTTATTTCATAGATTTATGTATATATATTTTTTTGTCCGAATTTCAGATAATATAAAGATTATTCATGAAAGAATTATTAAATTGAATGAGTACATTGATGTAAATATTGTATTAGGATATGGGAATATATCAGTAGAAACGATATTCAATAGCCAAAAAACATAAAAGGTTTTTGAGGGTTTTTTTTTTGGTGTATTTGTCTCCCATTTTAAAATAGACTCAAAAATCTAAAAACATAATCGAGAATTCAATGCAAGCTTGGTGTAGATCGTTTTCTAGTGATGCTATCGAATGATTTGGATTATCCGTCTTATCGTTATCGTAAAACAAATTTAAATTTTATTAGAATTTTTGAAAACATGGAATCAATGAACTTTATTGTATTTTATTGTAGCTCTGCTGCTGTATTGGTGATGGCAATAAGAACAAAAATAAAAAAAAAAAAAAAGAAAAAAAAAAAAAAAAGAGCATGAATAAATTACATTAAAACAGATAAGGCCTGAAGCTAGTGTGGTTTTGTCTTCTGTATTAGTTGATAACATTAAAGTTACTAGTTGTTCTTTCGGTTTCATTTCTTTTATTTTTTTTCCTTTTCTACTATCGATTTTAACTGCGATACATTCGTTCTTACTTACATTCATTTTTCAATTTGTCGTTTTGGGTATAGCTGTAGAAAGTGAATCCTTTCTTCAAGGTGCCAATAGCGTTAAATTATTACAGTTAACTGACATTCGGCCGAAAAATTGGTAGTTAACAGCCAGACAATTGGGGAACCCCATTGGCTTTTTTTTTCTTTTTTCATGGTTGTTTGTTTTACTTTTTACTTAAAAGTCAGCCTTTCTCCACGAATATTAATGAAGAAAGCTATCGATTTCATATTCTCAACCATCTTCACTTGACACCAAGCAATTTAAAAATTATTTGTATTTATGAACAAAATAGACATATTCATGTATTGGGCTTAAAAACAATAGAGAGGATTTCCCCGGTTTAATCGCTTACCAGCTTACCATAGAGGAGACAAGTCGTACAAAACAGTAACATTTATCATGATTAAAATTATCAACTCATAATTGAAAGCAAGAGATATATAAAGGGTCAAAGTTGATACATTTGATGCATACATTTTGACCCTTTTATGTATTTCTACAAGTATATCAAAAGTTTATCAAAAATTATTGGAGAAGTTCCCAAATATTTTTTTCAGAAAGCCCTAGTGATAGGCTTTTGATATACTTGTATAGAAAAATTGCCCCTCGGACTTGAGCACAGTTTTCCATATCCGGACCTCCTGGCCGGTAAATAACACATATATATGGCAGCCTATATTTTGTTAAAATGGCTAAAAATAATCATTAACTATTATTTAAAGCCAATAAAGCAATAAACGTACACTTTCGGTTCTGTAGTATGGCAGTGTTTCCGCAAAACAACATACCAACATTCTGTAAGACACTTCCGGCAACATCCCCCTCCCCCAGGTTCTATTTTATTTGCTCCTTGCATGACAAGGGTAATGGGCAATTTGAACACCTTGCATGACAATTGCCCTATTTCACTATGACGTCACTGCTTGTTTACGTGGGGGATAGAATCGCCCAATCCAATAGAAAATTCAACAAAATTGTGAAACAGTTTAATCTAAAATGGCTTAATTTTCAGATATAGTATGTGTTAATATGTACTAAAAAAATATTCTGAGCGTTTGCTGGCTATTCTACTTCTCTTCGTGGATTGATACGGGTTTTAGAACAATTTTCGGTGAATTTGCGTTGGTTTGACCCCCTCCGACGACCATGATCCTTTGCGTTTAAACAATATATTGTTTTGATGTGACGTCATAGTGAAATAGGGCAATTTAAATTTTTATCCTGTGCAATTCGAAACATGATATTTGAAAAGACCATGCACAAAATTAGCAAATCGAGAAGGTATGGAGTGGTTTTGTTGAATAGAGCTGAAGTTACAGGCGATCAAATTCGGCTTTTTAATTTTTTTTACAAGGGAATATATGTAGGTGAGCAAAASCTTGTCACCAACATACATTCCATGTTAGCCTGCGTTGCACTTTTATCAAAACCATTTTAAACTTTCCTGATTTACTAATTTTGGTTTGCCTTTCCAAAAACTAGCTTTTTATTTGGTTTCAATTTCAATTTCAATGTCACGTTACTAAGTGTTCATCTATTCCCAATTAATTGTAATCGAAGTTTCAGCTTTGTTTGCTTAAAGAGTAGCACAATTTTCGCTTTCTGGCTTACGAAAAACTTTGACTCCAACTGGGTTATTCGAACTCCAATTCTCGGCAACGACTTCACCAATAGATCTTTGAAAGAAAAATAAGAAATCCAGCCGCTGGAGGGGATGTTTTGTTACCCGTGATAGGCATCTTGGAAGCGCTAACACGGATATTATTACGGAAGAATTGCCGAAACTGTAAACCAAATTCTACTTGGAAAAAGAATAATAACTAATCGCATCTGAAACTCACAGTATTATGAAGCTTGTTATTGTAAACAAGATGCTTAATGCGAGTCCTTCGTGACCATGAAAGGGGCTTTTCTAAGCTTATAAGCTTCCAGTCATTGAATTATTCTGCACTTATTATGTTGTTGTGTCTGGCAGCGTAAGTCACAACACTGTAGGCCATGTTTTGCTGTGATGAAATTCTATACTAGTCTGTGTATATAATGGGTCTCCAGCTAACCAGTTATGTTCCATGCAAGTAACTCGGCTTGGGCTTTTGTCAATTATTCTTGTACTTTCCAAGATGATTTTTCCCGTTTTCTCAAAGCCACAAAAGCTATTATGCCAACGATAAATGTTTGTCTGAAACACATCCATTTTAGTCTGTAGTTGTTGCGTGACGCAATATTCACACATTGCCAAGATATTATTTGTTGTCCAGTGCGCAGGCTCGCTTTAGATGACATCATACAATAAGAGTACTTGCTATAAACGCCAAAACAACGAGGTTCTAAATTGTTTTTATTCAAAGCTAAGATTCAAAGTGAATGCTGGATATTTAGAGTTTGAAACGCTGGCTGTAACACACTTGGTTTTCTAACAACATAAACTGTTGATTTGGTTCTGGTATTCCCCATGAACGTCTTTGTTGCTCTTTTGCTAGACTTATCAGTTTTCACATATACCCTAGTAAATCTTACCAATTTTATCAAATATTATTGACTTTTCTTTTAAACTGAGTAGCTTAGGTTATCAGGTGTTTTCCCTGTTAGATATAGTTATAAAATGTGTAGTTTCTTTGCACGAATTTAGCATCCCACATTGATAACTATGATCGCAATTCCTCATATATTTATATGAATGACGCTATCATTATTTGGGAACGCGAGTGCAGTGGAGAGGGCCCAGTCACCGTATTTCGCGCTCCCCTTCACGGATTACACACACGGGCTTCAGTCAGTGGCCAAGGCTTGTTGGGCGTGTGCGGGTCCGTGTCGTACATCTTTTCGCTTTTCAAATCAAATTGACATAAAGTTGTCGGCCATGGAAAACTTTGTCAAGAAATCTTAAAAAACAAAACTAGCCCCCTGGGATGGCTGGTGGAGGGTTGTTTACAAGCTTTTAAGTGGGAGAGAGTGGGATAGTAATAAGGTCGAAAATGAAGATCGCAAAACAAAGGAAATGATGTAGTGCATTTCGATTACATCCTGGTATTAATAGACCCCTTTCGAATTCCAAATTACCGCTGTGTTTCTTGATTACAGACTCATTTGCACAGGGTTAGCCTCGAGTTTGTGCAGAATATTCACGTGTTCCAGTCAAGGTCCGTCGAGTTTCAAAATGTTTGTATTGTTGAAGTCGTGCATTCTTTACTTTACCGTTGGTATTTGTGAATATTTAAACACTGATACGAGGCTAACCCTGTGCAAATGAGTTTGTAATCAAGGAACACAGCGGTAATTTGGAATTCGAAACTGGTCTATTACGGAGGACATTATTTTATTTTCACATTTCAGCTTTATCTAAATTGGGCTCCCTGTGCGTCAATTCATATACCAGAAAAACCGTTGTGTGCGTGTTTTTATTGTCATTGTTTGAGTATCATTTTCGATTATGATGAATTCTGTGCTTATTCTCGAAACGTTCTCTTATCAAAAAATAGTGTATCTTTCTCACGCATGAAAACAAATGAAAACTGGTAAAATTGAATCTCAAAATCTACTAGTAACCTTAAGTTTTCAAGCTTCTCGAGAAATAGTTAAGGCTCTTATGAAAGGAATGAAAATTTTTTAGTAGGGCGCATATTGAATTAATTTATATGTAGCTTTCCTTTCGCTTAGTTCATGATTTCTTTTTCACAGTTGCAATAGCGCAGCGCAGCCGTGACTTCATAAAAACGAAGACAAAGACGAAATTCGGATAAACAAACTTACAAGTTTACTTTCAGCAGATAATTTTCACAGCCGATCGTAGTTGATCTTAGTTTACATGGGTTATTATTGTAACTTTAAGTAAAAATAATAAAATCGGTTCGTATAATCCTCGTAGCGGTTAAACAGAATGCAATGTTTGTCCGAATTTTGAAGCTATTTTTAGGATCAGCGCGCTGCGCTATTTGCGCCCATGCTTGCATCGCTAGTGAAAACCAGGCTTTACATTCCCTTCAATTTTGGACAATTTTTTTTCAATTTCAATCTAATTATTTTTAAGTTAGTGCAAGACTATTTTTTAAACACATCATAGTTAATGGATCGGAATGGTTGGGAAACCTATTGTTATATGTTTTTGTTCGACTGTATCCATTGTTATATGACGTTAACCCTGCACAGAGAAAGAAATGTTGCTCCGTTTGTTCATAGTATTCGGGAATATAGAAGTTTTTAACCCTAAAAAACGTTCTAAAATACTTATTATTTGTTAATTAATCCTACATGATTAATACAATTTGTTTATTGAAAAGGAAATTGCCTTTTTTCATGCTTTCTTATTTATCATCTAGTAACTTAACTGCATCTGCACGTAAATATTTATTCGCATGGTTTTTGGTCATCGAATGAAAGTTTTCACTTTCAAAATGTTCATACATGAAAATAATAAGGAAATGAGTATTTCAGCCATACTTGCTTTGGTC